ACTATAGGAGTTAAATTGGCTTTTGTGCAATCATTTAATTCGCTTTTTCAAAACTATAGCTACACCCGCCATGATACCTAATGTGCCTGTATAGGCACTTGCAGAACTTATAACATATTTAATTAATACCCTTTGTATCTCATATAGATATAAAATTATAAAGTAGTATAATTTTGTATTTATAAGATAACTTTTGAGATATAATTTAATAAATTTGATAAAACATTATATAAAATCTTCTATATATAAAAATTTTCTGTCTAAAAATTAATATTTTTTGTTTTAAATTTTTGGTTTAAATTCTATTAAAACTAAAAAAAAATGCCACGAGTATCTAAGAGCAAAAAATATTAAACTTTGTTCAGGTTAATAATAAAGTAGAATTAACCATTTACCAATGAATCAGAATTATTGTACTCTATGGTTTAGGATTTTCAATGCGTGCAATTGCTCGAGATATGGGAATTGCACATTTGACTATATCAAGATTAATCAAAAAAGCTAGTGAAACAGGAAAGATTGAAGATTTGGAAAGATCAGGCCATCCAAGAGTTTTAACACAAGAAGAGGAAGAAAGAATAGTTGAATTAATTAATTCTGGAGAATATGAGAAAACACCCCATAATAAATGAAGCTACAAAAAGAGTATGATATGAGTTTGCTAAAAAATATGAAAACTGGATAGTCAATGATTGAAAAAAGATTATTTTTTTAGATGAGAGTAGATTCGTACTCTTTGGGGCTTTCAAAGGATAGCAGTACTATTGGCGAAAACCAGATGATAGAGAATTAAATGATGCTTGGGTTATTCCAACAAAAAAAATTTGGTGGTAAGAGTATAATAGTTTGGGGTTACATGAGCCCTAATAATTGTTGACTTCAATTAGTTGAAGAGATCTTGAATTCTAAAGGTTATCTTAATATTCTTAAAGATTGCCTTTTGGATGTTATTGACGATAATATGATTTTTCAGCATGATAATGCATCAATTCACAAATCTATTTTTACAAAAAACTGGCTTGATGCACAAAGAATAAATATCATTGTTGACTGGCCACCACATTCACCTGATTTAAACCCTATCAAGCATCTTTGAAGTGAAATCAAGAGGCACTTAAAGAGAGAATATTTTAGTAGTAAAGAAAAACAGAAGTTATAGAAAAGAGTAGTAGGAATATGGAATGAAATTGGGTAGAATTTAATAAATAAACTATATGAATCAAAACCTAAAAGAATTGCAGCTGTAATAGAAGCTAAGAGTAGTTATACAAATTATTAAATATCAATCGATCTTTAATATTAATTTCTACTCTATTGCTAGAAATAATAATATAAAACATATAATAAATAAAAAGAATAAATAAACATAAATACATAGAAATGCGTATGAATAAGAAATAAAATGCATATATATATACATATTATATAGGGTTGCTTACCATACTACCAGAATTGGAAAGTAGCAATCTTTCTTTTTGAAGTTGTTATTTTTGCTGTAATACGTAAATACGTATAATAGGAATTCTTTAGAGATAAGCAAAGTAATTTTGTAAGTAATAATGACCTATTACTTATCTCTTACTTAATATTAAGTAATATTAAATAATTATTACATTCAATTGTCTATTATATAGATATATATATGTAAAACATATATTGATAAAAATTGGAAACGGTGTGAAGAGCCCTTGTAGAATTTTATTCTTATTATTAATATTTTATATTAGTATTATTATTATTATTTCATATCTACTCTGTATATTTTTGTTTTACTCAACTTAAAGTAATGGCTACGGTGGACTTGTGTGAGAAATTCACTTTAGCCAATTTTGTAGATTTCATAGTATGTATTATCATATTTCGCTACTTTATTCATGATAGTAGCTTTTGTGAATATAGTCACTTTATTTACTTTTTCAACTATATTTGTTTTGTTCACTTTATAGCCTTTCGTGCATAAATTCCAACCAGTATTATAATAGTTCTGTAAAAAGTATAAAAGTAAAGACCTTTCACTTGGAAATAAAAGCAAAACTCAGTTGAGTAAACTTCGAAATCATAACAGTAGAAGTACTCCAGTAGTTTATATGTGTACTTATCTTATCCTATTGTTTCTAATAAATCATCCAATCAACTTTGTTGTTAACCCAATATTGTAAAATAAACAGTAACTTCATTGTAGAGCTTAACCTTTGAAATTAGAGTAGAAGTGTTGGCTCTAAGTTCTCTCAAACCAATACGTATTAGCAAAAACCAAATTCGTACCCTCTTGACCTTGTGATTTCATAATCTTGATTTCTTTTAAGAAAGAGAAAGAGAGAGAGTTGATTAATAGACTAAAACCTCTTATTTAATTTAATAATATATAAAGTGATTAAACTCTGATCCACATCATTGTTACCTCAAATCAAATCTAAATTGATACCACGATTCAATAACCACATAATCCATGTGACAATTGTTAAGAATTTTAACAATTATATTAAAGACTAGGACCTGTTGAATCAAAACCTAAAAGATAAAGCCATCTTTAGCTTCCAGTTAAAGTGTGAATTTAACTAGTAAAAGCATAAGCCAAGGATATACTTATCTTAGCCTCTAGAAAAGCCACAACAAGCCTCCAAAAAACCTTGAGACTCAGACCAAGTCTCTCCATGCTTCTTTCAACCTGCCAGTTCAAGGTTTTAGGAGCCTTAGAGTATTGGTTAGATTATATCTTGGTGTAATAGATTTAGTTTAACATTTAAAGTGCTAGCAGGATCCTCCCAAGAAAAAAAAAACATTTTTTACGTCGCGTGGAGTAATTTTATCAAAAAAAAA